AGTTAAAGCTATTAGCATACTCGTAGTTCTCAATGTTCAGACAAGTGTTGGGCTTTGACACATGTAGGAAGACTGACATGAAAATCTTTTCAAAATCCTAAATAAAGTCATAGTGTGTCCTACAGGAGAAAACTACAAAAATATTTTTGTGGATAATTTTTTAAGCTTAGTTTATCACTAAGCTCAATTTAGTTTGCCACTTTAAATACAAATAAGAAAACTCTAGCACACGTTTTACTCTCTGCTTGTTAATTTTTTTTTTCCTGCTCCTTACATGTTTATATATGAAATAATTGAATGAATTTCGGTTTGTTTCATACATGGAAAGAAATTCTTTTGCTTTTCTGCTTTATGCATCTTACTTGATCTGTGCCCCATTCATTGAAACAATTACAAATAAATTATCCATTTTGTATGCAATTTTCTGCCTTTCTGTTGCAAAGGAACACTAGATTCACTCTGAGCAACATTATTCCAGCTCTTCAGAGGGCCAGCATTCTGCAAAATCTTCAGCTGGGCAGAATGCCTGTTTCTATGCTTCTGAGCTTCAGCCTCACAGAAGACCCCTTCCCTCACTCAGTTCCTTCAAACTAGTCAGCAGAATTTAGCATACATGTGGTGGAACGGTGCATCTGCTGAGCTCATTATACAAACTGCTATTCAGTGAAACTGGTGAAAACATTGTTAAAGTGTTAATAGAGGAGCGATGTGACGATATCCTGAATTTGAGAAAGAACAGGAGTTTTTAAAGAGAAAGAGACCCTACCTTCCTACCCTCATCTATGGTCATGAGCTTTGGGTTATGACTGAAAGAACGAGATCTCAGATACAAGCAGCCGAAAAGGGTTTCCTCCGTAGGGTGTCTGGCCTCCATTAGAGATAGGGTGAGAAGCTCGGTCATCCGGGAGGGACTCAGAGTAGAGCCACTGCTCCTCCACATGGAGAGGAGCCAGTTGAGGCTGAGGCATCTGGTCAGGATGCATCCTGGACGCCTCCCTGGTGAGGTGTTTTGGGCACGACTCACCGAGAGGAGGCCCCGGGGAAGACCCAGGACATGCTGGAGGGACTATGTCTCCTGGCTGGCCTGGGAACGCTTTGGGATTCCCAGGCCACCCTGGGAATCTTGGGGAGAGAGAAGTCTGGGCCTCCCTTCTGAAGCTGCTACTCCCACAACCCGACCCGGATAAGCGGAAGAAAATGGACGGACGGACGGACGGATGGATGGACCCCATTTCAAAGTGTCAAATTATAAAATTTTTCTAAGGTAACACAGTTATTTGATTGTACTATAAAGTGGCACTAAGTACCTGGAAAATACATTCTGTCCCTTTAATAAATTCTTGAAATAAAAATATGTTGTAGAAGGCAAAAATCCTATTTCACTAGTGCATAGTGTAGACTAATCTTTCACTAATCTAGTCTAATTAAATCATAATCAGGTTTTTTCAATCAAAAAATGTAGTGAGGACATGAAGAAAGCATTGGTGGTCCTTATAATCTGAAGGTGAGGTGAAAAGATTCTTAATAAAACTGCTATCTAAACAATTTTTGAAGCAATAAATTCCAATCATTTCCACCTTTAAGCCCTTATTGTATTTGCATCTTGTTTACTATTTCAGACCAGAAAGAAAAAAACAGAAAAAACACTGATCAGATAAAAAGTGATTAGAAATCCAAACTTGGAGGGATTGGATTCAACTTCTTTAACTTCAGCAGATGGAGCAGAAGGTTACTAGCAGATCAATATTTGTCAGTATGAGGTGATTGGATTATTTTGGCTCATTAGCTCTTGTTTGCTTAAGTAAGTGCTGGAACCATTCAATCAGAAATACAAAGTGCTACTGAGCATCTGCTGACCAGCAGCTTAGTACACAGACGTCACACTATTATTATAGTTTCTAAGTCTTTTTGGAATTATTTACCTTTAAAATATGTATTTTCTTACATAAAACAAGTGACATGAATAATGTTTTGTTTTTGTTTTTATCATGAACTGAATTGCTTCATGTTTCCATTGTAAAACTAAAGAACTGAGAAAGTGGGGTTGGGCTTGTGTTTGAAGAAGTGTTGGGTTATAAAAGGAGGCGATTCCTTTCATTCTGCCTCACACCAACCAGCTCTCTGCTGCCTCTGCTCTTTGTCTTCATCAGAGCTTCACCTCCTCCTTTGACTCCTGACAAGTGAGTGATTCTTCTCCACCTCTCCTGATGACCTTCTCTTTGTTTTGTTGCTCTCGTCTAAAGAATCTGTCTGTGTGTCTTCAGTTCTCCTCCAGCATGGCAGCACTGTGGCTTCAGTCCTTCTCTGTGCTGGTCTTACTGGTTGTATCGTGGCCCGGCTCCCAGGGCGTCGCACCACCGCAGCATCTATGCGGTTCTCACCTGGTTGACGCTCTCTACCTGGTCTGTGGGGACAGAGGCTTCTTCTACAGCCCCAAGAGGGATGTGGATCATCTCCTGGGTGAGACATCAAAACTTTACCACTTTAATTTGTTGGAGAAAAAAATGGAAAACTTTTTGGGTAAAAGAAACAAAATAGTAGCTCTAAATGCTCTAAGCAGAACTTTTGTTAGAAATCAAATTTTTGAACAGTTATTTGGCTCTTTTATGTGAGCTGGGTTTTTTAAATCTTTATTATTTTTGTGAATATGTTATATGTGTTTATAAACATGTTTTGTTCCAAGCAAGCTTTTCAAGGGGTTTCTTCCTTGTTGCCATGTATATATTATGGAATTATTCTGGTCGTCTGTGACTCTTTCTCATATAGTCACCTGCCTCAAATAATGACCTGATTCTTTTTTTTTTTGTCATAATCACTTTTGGCAAAAAAATTAATATAGAAAAGTGATATTCTCATCTTTGCTCTTATTTGTGGTCCTCTGAACCCTTTTGTCAACTAAGTCTTCAGATTGTGTCCCACTCAGATCAGGATGTTCAGTTCTGCTTTCTTCTTGTGTTGGATTTTAAAATATATGTTATTTTCTTTCCATGTTGTCATTACTTATGTGGTAGGTGACTGTTACCTCTTGTCTGATACCAAACAACAACATGCATCAGTACTAGCCCTTGTGTTTCAAGTCAATCATTTCCTATTTGAACCCTTTCTCCTTTCTCTTTGTTTTTCTCCTCCAGGGTTCCTCCCTTCAAAGACCGCCACAGGGTCGACTCAGGGCGGTGAGAACGAGGTGGCCGAGTTGGCCTTTAAGGACCAGATGGAGATGATGGTAAAGAGGACAGGCATCGTCGAGCAGTGCTGCCACAGGCCCTGCAGTATCTTTGACCTGCAGAACTACTGCAACTAATCGGCGTGCAGACAGTCCATGTGGAGCCGCTGACTGAGCGCAGCTTGATTTGTTGCTTAATTTAGAGTGAACCCCATCCCAGCAGCGTGGATCTCTTCCAGAGAACCGTCTGCAGTCAATGACATGTTGAGAGATGGATTATTTTTGCAAGAAAATAAAGTTTTATGATTTGAGACAACGTCAGGGTATGTGTGTTTCTTAGATGGACTTTTTTTTTTCCCCCAAAAAAAATGTAAAATGTGTCCTTCATCAAATATTCTTGCAGGTCATATTTATTAGCATCCGTGGTAAGAAATATGAAAAAAAGATGTTTCCTTTAATTTTTTTTTCAAAATCATTATTTACAAAACTCCCACCTTCAGTTTGAGTAAAACTCAAATTAAAGGTGGGAGTCTCTCTCTCTCTCTCTCTCTCTATGCTTACTTTTTTTTTTTACTTTATGTAAAATCTTGCTTTATCTTTAATGTGTGCAATCCCCTTTTGTCAACAGGACAGCATCTGGATTTCATTTATAACATACAATATTGGACTTTGTGGCTCTTATCGATTCCTATTTGTCCAATTTCTGTACATAATTCTTGGTTGCTTTTTATGCTTTATTTTGCAATTGGCCCAATACCCAAACAATCACATATATTCTTGCAACAATGCTTAAGTTGTAAAAACAGAATTCAACAATGAGCAATTCTCAATTTCAGACAGAGCTTGCAAGATTTTGCAGTTTATGACACTATTCACTCTAAAAAATGTTTATAGATGAGAATGAAGCCCACAGCATCATAGATCCTCGATTTGTTTATTTTAGTTACAGAGAGCCAGATATTTTCTAACCTGTTGACTCATTATGATTTTTTCAAAATGAGACAAAAGTGCATCTTAAAAACCAAAAACCTGCAACGATGTTGTTCATTTATGCTTTCTTGCTGCTCCCCGGCAGTTGCCAGAAAGGCAAACATTAAGACAAGCTCTTTCCTCATAGCTTTGGTACAAGAAACAAGAAACAAATGGAACTTAGGCTACAACTGGTGGCAAGAAAAGGTGGAACGTTTAAAAAATCATTTCTTGGTGCAGAGTGATTAAGAATATCTGTTCAAAGTGGTTAAGAAACCTAGGGTCAAATTTTTACAGAGTTGTCATGCAAAAAACCAACAACAACAAAAACCCTATAAAAATGTCTAATAGTGAGTACATGAGTACAACAGTGAGTAAAATCCCTCAAGCCCCATGTTTCAATCTATTTCCCACCTTTGTGGGCCCAATGTTGGCTAGGATCATATCTAATTATTATCATCTCAACTAGTCATTTTCTGGAATTTGTAAGGAAGCAAAATATTAAAAGATGGAAATGATGTTTAAAATTAGCACATTTTCTTAAGAGATTTAACGAATAACGTGAAGTAACTGTTGTAATTGTTACACAAAGCTCATTCTGAAACAGACATGTGTGTTAACTGTTGGTTCACTACTTAAATGTTAAATAAATAAATAAATAAATAAATAAATAACCTAGGCTCCCCAAATGAAATTTGTCTCACGACCTTAAGCAAGGACTTTACCTAACCTGGTATTGTGCAGAGAAGCGCGTACCCTGCATGCCCTGTCGCGGGCGCGCGCATCGCTCTCTCCGCTCGGGGCGGGGCGGGGCGGGGTGGGCGTGGTCACCTGAACCTCCTTTGGGTCGCGGCTGGTTCCGGAGAAAACAGGGCGGACTTTCGGCCCAGAAGTGGCGTTTGTTCCATGGACTGAAGTGCTGACCGCTCCCTAAATATATTTTATATAAACTGTTTTAAAAAGCTGCTTTAATTAATCTGTTGGACAAAGGTGAAGACGGACTTCCGGTTCTGCGCTGTTTCTTCTGGTCACTTCCAACTGGACAGCAGCGCGATGCCCGAGTTTCACCTGAACGAGACGTGCGCAAACGGTAAAAAGAAAGAAGCTTTGCTTTGTGTTTGAGGTGAAGGATCAGGGATTCACACAGTGCTGCTGCTGCTGCTGCTGCAGCTGCTCCTGCTGCTGGACCCGTCAGTGGACATCTGTCCTCTCCTCGTTGTCTTGTAATTCAGAGCTGAAACTGTTTCTCTATTCTGTCTGTTTTTCATGAAACGTCACAGACTTATGAACATTTTAAATGTGAGATTATGCATCACATACAAACGATATGCGGGACAAAGAGCCTGTTTTTCTGAGAAGATGTAAATGTCTGTTGCTTGAAAGCTGTCCGAAATATGTCTCCATGTCTCCATGTGTCCATGTCTCCATGTGTCCATGTCTCCATGTGTCCATGTCTCCATGTGTCCATGTCTCAATGTCTCCATGTCTCCATGTCTCCATGTGTCCATGTGGATGTTTAATGATGTTTAATGACACACAAAGTCAAATATGTTGGTTTGAACTACAAACCAACATATTTGGTTGGTATTTCTCAATTAATCAATGAATTTAAATGATGCTCAACTTCTGATAAACAAGAAGAGATATTTGATCATCTCTTAAATACATAATACCAAATAGAAATATGTATATTAACAGTATTTCTTGATCAAAAATCAAAGGTTGAAATTCATCCCTCTATTAATATCAACACTTGTGAATCAAAATGACAAAGACATTGAAATTATTCAATTTTTTTAAAGTCATTTTAATGTTCAGCAAGTCAGGGAGTTGACTTGTTTGAAGTTATTTTACTCAAGTTTATTTTTTTTTTTAAATACTCATCTTCTTCAGGTAAATACATTTTTCTTTACAGATTTACCTGAAATATCAGACACCTGCAGCTGATCCAGAATGCTGCTGCGGTTTCTCACTAGAACTTTGAAAATGGAGCACATCATCAGCTTTAACACCTGCAGCTCAGGGAAAAGCTACAGGGATCTGTTAGTTTACAAGTCACTGAACAGCTTGGGACCAACATGCATTAACGGTCTTAATGTGTCAACCTTCCAGATCATTCTGCTCTTCTGGTTCTGATCTGCTTTGGAACCCCAGAACTTAACGTGGAGAAGCTCCATTCAGCTTCTATGGCCCACAAATCTAGAACGTTCAGAAAGCGTCTGAAACTCTGAGTTCCTTTAAATCAAGCCTAAAACACACCTGTTTAGAGTTGCCTTTAATTCAGGATAACTAAAAAAATGATCAACATATTTGATAAATATTTGCTTGATGATTTTGATGGTGGCATTTGAGAAAATGTCATATTTATTGCATGTTTCATAATTGATTACTGTTTTTATGGTGTAAAGCATGTAGCTGAAATGTGCTACTCAAATGAACTTGACTTTGTTTCAATAAACTTGACAGAATAAGCAAAAACCTTGGTTATGCTGTTTGGAGGAATTCTAATAGCAACAGCTATAATAATAGTAAAACAATGAAAAATGAAAAGCAGCTTTTGATGGGATGTTGAGGCCAGTATAGTGATCAATATTCAAGTGACTGGGGCCGAAATTCAGACCTAATGGAAATAGAAGCCATTCTTCCAGGAAAAATTAAAAGTCTGTCCATCACAGCATTTCAGCCATTGAGGTGGCGCTCATTCAAACTAATGCTAATTGTGCTAATTATTAATATTAGATACTAATGGTAGCTTAAAATGGAGAATACCTTTCATTTTTGTCTTATTTCAATTCTTACCTTTGCTTCACACTTTAAGTGAAACTGTTAGTAAAGTACAAATATGTAAACATGTTTTTATTACTCATGTTTTTGTCCTCGAATGAAACTGTTTGTTTGTTGAACTTCCACATATTAATCAAAAAGAGGATGTGTTTAATTTTCAAACCAATCAACATATTTTCAATTTCTCCTTTCTTGGCCGACTGACTTTACCAAGTAAAACAAAACTGAAACAACAAATTAAATATTGAATTGGAATTTGTTTCTTAAATTCTGCTTAATACAAGTAATCTCTAATCTCTAAATGCTCTGAGTCATTTTGATTTGTAAGGTATTTTAATTGCTTCCCCACACCTGAAATCCAAACATGTTTCCCCACCACTTCGTTTTGAGTGTTCTCTATCTGGCTGCTGCCTGGTGCCGAGTTGTTTACAGTGTAAATATTAGCCAAGTTCTTCTTGTTGCCCTTAAGCAGAGCGGTCAGACCAGCATGGCTCAACACTGCACACACAAACCAAATATTGCATTTTGGTCAGCGAGACCAAGGAGTGTCTACAACAGTGTAGGAAGCTGCGGTGATACAATCATGAATTTCTCAAAGCCAAGTATTTAGCTGCCATGATCAGAAATCTAATTTAAAACTTTTTTCTTACCTCAGTTCAATTTCTGTGTAATTTAATTTCGAATTTGAAAAAGAAACCCAAAACATTTTTGTTTGTCTCATTAAGTTGCAAACACCCAATATGTTTACTTTTCTTGTCTGCCTGTCAGTGTTTTTGTTCATAAAATCTCAGAAGGGTTTTTGGAATAATCTGAAAGATCTCTATATGCATCTAAAATCAAATCAAATGTTATTTGTATAGCACATTTCAGCAGCAAGGCATTTCAAAGTGCTTTACATCATAACCACAAAAACACAAAGTCATGCATCATATAATAGACAATACATTGTTACATATTACGTTTCAAATGAAACTCTAAACAGGTGTGTTTTTAGTTGACATTTAAAGGAAGTCAGGGTTTCCGCTGTTTTACAGTTTTCTGGAAGTTTGTTCCAAATTTTTGGTGCATAGATGCTGAAAGCTGCTTCTTGGTTCTGGTTCTGGGGATGCAGAGCAGAACCAGAACCAGAACCAGAACCTGAGAGTCTGGAAGGTTGATACAACAACAGTAGATCTTTAATGTATTGTGGCGCTAAACCGTTCAGTGATTTGTAAACTAACAACAGTATTTTAAAGTCTATTCTTTGAGCTACAGGGAGCCAGTGGAGGGACTTTAAAACTGCTGTTATGTCTCTATCTTCCTGGTTTTAGTGAGAACAGGAGCAGCAGCTTCTGGATCAGCTGCAGCTGGAGGATTGATTTGTTGGACAGGCCTGTGAAGATGCTGTTGCAATAATCAATGTGACTAAAGATAAACACATGGATGAGTTTCTCTAGATCTGGATGATCTACCTGCTTTCCTCATTTAGGGATTGAAATTTATGAACAGTCTTCTTTGCAAAATAGTTCACAATTATGCAATTATGCACAATTATGTTCCATTTATTTTGGTTGTACTTGTTTCACTTTCTTCTGCCTATTTTTTCTACCTTGCATAGGTAGGCACAATATGCTGGATTAATTTACTGCAGAAAGCATTTGTTTGGATAATAATCTCATTTCATTGCTCTGTACATGTGCAATGACAATAAAGTTGAATCTAATCTAAAATCAGTGAGATTTGATCCTGGGACTCTAGCTGTATATTTAAACTGAACCATTTTTAATGTCTCCCAAGTTTTCTTCCAAATTTGCAGCATATCTCCATCCATCATTCTTGACATTTTGTTTACATTTTTCATGTTCTTTTGGCATAATGTAATAGAGCAAAAACAACATGAAACATCGTTGACTGAACTTCAAATTTCAATCAGTTTTAACTATTTTGAAACATTTTTTACTCTAATCCTGTTATACTCCCATCAATTGTATCCAGTGGGTTTCACTAATGATTAAAAGTTCCAGTCAGTGATATGTGTGGTATGTATGTATATACATATGCGGTATCTGGTATGTGTGGCAACTCCCCAGGGCAGCATCTTGTGGAGGAACAAGTCTTCAAATAACCCTGCTCCCCTGTTCTTATAATAGAGGCTCAAAATATCAATGGTGCCTAATGCAAACCATCACCAAATATCAGATGCATTTCTGTTGAACATTCCACTGTAGACTGGCAACTTAAGCTAGCATCGTAGCTCAAGTACCCTGATCATACATGAAAATCAAATTCCTAAAATAGAACTGAAATAACATTAAGTGCCACTGATCTAAGAAACAAATAATTTTCAAGGTTAATAATTAGTCCTTGCAAGTTTCACAGTTTGCCATGAATATGAAATTAACTCTTCAAACTTTAGACTTAAAGACCCAGTCCTCTAAGTAACTTCACTTAGAGGAGGACTAAGTTCAGCAGGTTTGTTATTTTGTCCTGTTCTTTGAATTTGATTTCACTACATTTGATAGCAGCTGAATTGTAAATGATCTAGTGGTTAAATAGAAATAAAGCTTGTCTGTCAGATTTGTCATGCCTCAAATCTGACATCAGGAGGAAATACTCAAATTGAATCCATTTTAATTTTCAGTTGCCTTCAGTTGACTTTTTTTTTTTTTACAATGTCTCCTGCACTAATTTAGCTTTGTTTACATGAACAGTTCTCTGGGGAAAAGTCTCTTTGCATTCCCCTGCCACCTACAAGACCAGTATTTGTGCAAACAGTGCATACACAGTGCAGTGCGTATGTGTTCATAACTCAGTTTTAGGGAAGCATGATATTAGAAAAGTCTTAGGATGGTTGTATTTCTGATCTTCTTTCCTCTCGGGCTCATCGGTGTTTTTACCTCTGTGACCTTCAGCATCTTAAGCAGTGTCATTTGTTTCCAGTGTGAGCACTTACTGCAGTAAGACTCTGTTCAACTGGATAAATATTACACTAACATGTAAAATTCAAGTTTATAACAACTGGAAACAATCACCTTTCATGGTCAAAGGCCAGTTCTACTGAGGTCTATCTTCAATATCATGAGTTCTGATCTGGTTTGAAATGGAGGATACAGACAAAACCCAAAAAGTTATATTCTTACTAATCCATCTATGTCCTAATCTTCTTATATAGTCATGGGATATGGATGATAAAGAACAAAATCCTGGATATAAGTAATAAATTGGAGTCAGATGTCAGAGGAAGGACAGTTGAGTTCAAAGTAATTCTATTTTTGGCAAACCTTTGGTCTACAGTCAACGATTGTTTTTTTGTTCTCTGTTGGACACTGACAAATGATTTACAGGAAATGTGTACATAGGTTTTCTGGTCATGGCCACTATTATTGTTTAACTCTGTAGTAATAAAGATATGATGCATTCCTAATAAAAGATCACCTGGAATTCTAGTAAAATCAGAAATGTCCTACAGAACTTCAGATTTTCAGTGAATGGTTCATGTCTTTGCAGGCTCTTTGCTGACACTGTGGTGTGGATCCCAGACCGCTGTGTGTTTGGTCACCACAGATCAAACTCTGATCCTCACACACCTGAACAACAGTCGACAAACAGGTAGTCCGTCACCGACATGCTTCTATCAGCTGAGCATCGCAGCTTCTCTTCTTGTGTAAAGTTAGCTTATTTTTGCTCTGCTGTCATGATCGCCTCTGTTCCCTCCTCAGTTTTGTCCTGGAAATTGGATGCATGTCACCTGAGTACTGTGTTATTAGGACGGCACTGTGACAGCTCAGCTTTGTTGGTCGTGCAGCTCAACTGCACGTCAAATGAAAGCACTGCATTGTCAGAAATGTCTTTCAACTAAATTAGTAGGATTTTCAGAGTTTTGCAAAGCAAATACTCAGGATTTCCTTTGGTGATCCAGTGGAATTAACTTGAAGGCAGGAGCCAACACTTAAAGGAAAGATGAAGTTTGTTAGAAAAACTTCATCTGCTTCAGGATGAAGCTGATTTGAGAGTGAAGTCAAATCAGGTTTGGAACAGTGAAAATATACAATTCAGAACACCTGAATTTACGGTGGTGGTGAGGCGCAAACCTCTGTATGAATGTAGAACTTGTAGGTAATATTAAAGTGTGAATTGATTTGAAAATTACTTTCATTTTTATATATGTTTATTATATGTGGTTATGTTTATTGAGTTAAAAATGTTAACTACGAAAAATCATAACTCACCTCCAAATCAGAGTGCAGCAAATAGAGCAGCTGCTCCCTTTTATCCAAGGTCTTTTCTTTTTGTTTGTCTTTTATCGCTTAAAATGATCCATAAACTATCACTTCTGCTTCTACATGGTCATCTGTTTTTGATTATTCTAAATCAAACATACTTGGTATGTTGGGAGTTTTACTGGATTTTCTTCTGGAATCGGGATGTTTGTGACTGGAATCAGTTGTTGTGGTGTGTTGCTCCTGCCGTGTGGTCGGACACACGAACCGATCGAACCTGTAGGTCTTTATCGGCTCTGTGGTCACAGAGGTTTGGAAAATCGGCCGACCATCGAAAAATGAACCAGACCTAAAACTCACAAGCTCTACTCCTCTCATCTTGTCTCGACCACTGCCCTAATGCCCTTCAAAATAAGATACAGCTGTGCCACAAAAACAAACATTTTACTCTTGTGAAAGTTTTAACTCAGAAAAATGACTATTGGGAGCGCTGAGCTCATTTCTCCCATCTGGGAGTGATGAGAGACAATGACACCCGAAGTGTTGCTAATGCACAGCCTACTTGGTCTCTGCAAGGAGAAGCAATTTGAAGCTTCATTGAGGCAATGAAGCAATGAAGCTTCATTGAGGCAATGCTGTGGTGACCGGATTAACATCCGATTGACATCCGGTCACCACATCATGCAGAGCAGCTGGGACTGTGGGAATCACCTACCCGGATGAATCCATTCTCCTGTCTCTTCTCTGGGCCTTTTACCTTCACAAAGAAACTTTCCAAAGAATCTCATCTGTTTCTTACTCATGTTGCTGCTTGTGGCTCAATGTTGGCGGCAAGACGCAACCGAGAGAATCCGGCTAAAGGATTATTAAAGTAAAAGATCCTCCATACTCAAATAATACATAAAACAGAAATATTTAATTATTTCTTGTGCGGCCCGGTGCCAATTGGTCCACGGACTGGTACCAGTCTGCAGCCCGGGGATTGGGGAGCACTGCTTTACGGCCAGTAGAACTGGTGCATAATACATTGTAAAACCTGAACACTAGTGGGTGTTTGGACATTCAAAGGAGTCTAGAATAAAACTGGCCTTGGACCACATCAGAGTAACAAAAAACATCCCAAAAGTCTTTGTTGAAAACCAGGTTCATGTCAAGAAACTGACCAATTTAAAAAGGTATTATTAATTTAGTCATGAAGAGTGGATTAATCGGTATCTTGTCTGATTATATTGATAATGATAAAAGCCTCAAGAAGTGTGGGATCAATGGGTGATTGGGAATGAATTTCAGCATGTTGGTTCTGGTTTTTCTTTTCTTGGTTCATGCATTTCTTATTCTTGGAGTAATTGTATCTTGAAATAAAAATGGCAAATCATTAAAAGACCATAATAACAGTAGCATTCCTTTAACAAACTTGTGATCACAACAAAACAGTTCCACAAAACGGAGCTATTTCTGGCTAAATTCCTCTGAGCTCATTGCTCTTTCCATGGACACTCCTTCTGAAAACCTTTCCCTGCAGGTGTTTTTATTTTCATAGAAGAATACACACCCTGTTAAACACACAGTCTTAATAAGTATGCGAACTGTCTCCAGGTATGCAAACTTACAGTTCCTACAACATGTGGCTGGGATTAACTCTGGCAATGCTGTCGTCCTTCCTGATTGGTGGAAGTGTCATCCTCAAGAAGAAAGCTCTCATCCGGTTGGCCAGCAATGGACACAGCAGAGCAGGTGAGCAGCGGCAGATGTTGACATTTGATCCATGTTTGCTCTGTGCCCTGGATGATCTTGCAAAATTGAAGCAACAAATGTGGTTCCAAATAGATGAACTATATTACTTTAATCTGAAGAGTCAATGAGGTGAGAAGTTCAGAATAGAAAGAATGAAAAATGACAACGAAAAGGTGATTTATTTAGAAACGGGTTAAAATAAGTGACAAAAGTGACTGCTTATACAGACCTGACATTTCAGCTCAAATTGTTTTCCAACATGGAAGTAACAACGATTTGGAAGACCTGTTTTGTTCTGCTCAATCACTTCTCCCAGCAAGTAGGGTGACTGCTTTTTGTGATACCATTCATTGGATAATTCAACCAGCCTTAAAATAACTTTGCAATTATTTCTATTGATGTTAGTAACTTAATTTGTGCCCACAACAAGTACATCCTTTACCCAAACTTCAAGTTGTGTTACATTCACATCTTAGCATTAGCATTAGCCACTAACCTAAAAAAGTGTTTCACTTTTGCTGTATGATACAACATTCAACTCACACGCTCATAAATGGAACTGTTGCACTCGTCTTCAGTTAAACTTGCAGACTTGTTAAGGGATGACTATTAGTAGTAAGATGTATCAAAGATTTAAAATGGGATTTACAGAACTGGCCATTTTTTTCTACATTCTGTTATTCAGACATTTTAGTTAGATAACATGTAGACCTGAAATTGGCATTGGAATGACTGATGTTTTCTCTGTATTTATATGAAGCAATGCAGTACTGTCTGTCCCCACCTGTTACTGCACACTTTGTCAGTAGGCTGGCATAATGCTTCTAATTACCATCAATATAAATATTCACTGGTGCAAATAGTCATGATGTGTAAACTCAATAGTAATAATCATTCTTATTAATATATTGTAGTTTTAAAACAATACATTAAACTCATTAAACTATGAACTCTGTCTGATGCTGTGGGTTGGCTGCTGGAGCAGATACTCTGACTAATTAACCATGTGATATGTTTCTCTATGGCAAAATATTCTGCACAAAAAGCCAGTGTACAAAAAGCCAAGTACATGTTACTCATGACTGTACAGTCTATGAAATAACATGCTGAAAGTAAAGTGCACACTTTTAGTTTTTCTTTATTTAATTTTCCTCTCACTTCACTTATACTCCATGTTTGGACTGTCACATAAAATCCCATCAAATAAAAATGAGATTGTTGGCTATTATGTGACAAAATATGAAAATAACCAGGAAACAAAATACTACGTTAGTGCAGTGTATGCTATGAATCAGGATGGCATTACTAGCACAAAATGTGCATCTGTTTGCGTTTCTGCAGGTGATGGAGGATATGGCTACCTTAAAGACTGGCTCTGGTGGGGAGGCCTGTTGACCAGTAAGAACTTCACTGTAGAACCTTTTACAGTCGTAACATTTGTGTGATTGAAGCAAAACCCCCCAAGAATAGTTGTTTACTGCGCATCTCAGTCAAGGGGAGAGAGGAAAAAGATCATTTACCCTTTAATAGCTTAGTTTGGAAACTGGATTAAATTATATCAGTAGAACTTTAGAAATGGAAGCATGTATGAGATTAAGCTAAACCAAAATGCAAAAAGGTTCTAATAGATGCACTAGGGAGGTTTAATTTCCATGTGCTGCTGAATAAGTGCTTGAACAATAAATTTGATTATCTCTGTTAAAACAGGAGTTTTATCAGTTTGTAATTCTGGAGCAAGAATATTTGTTTAGCATTTTCCCAGACAGGATTTCCTAGACAAGAAACTCTTACTGTTAATAAATTCATTTCAGACTCATTTCTGCATTTCCAAAATCCAAATAAATCATTTTTCACTACCATAAGTGTAAATGAGGCAAATTTGCTCTTGAGCTTTTGCTGTCCTCTTCATCACGCAGCAGTCCAACGTTTCAAAGTCCGTTGGTAAAACCTGTACATTTTGCCACATTGCTAAGTGTGTCTACAAGAAAGGCGTTAGATGTAATCCAGAAATTACAAAACTCAAGTGCAATAATCTCAACATTAAGCAACCAAAACATTATTACATTTTCATGATCATTCATTATTGCTAGTAAAAGCTATGTCAAAAATTCTAATTCTAGTTGTCTTTATCAATATCTTTAATATAATTAACTGAATTTCAATCACATTTCTGAGCAGCTTGTTGGCATTCTCAAGAGCTAATGAGGGGATGACCTACAACCACAAACGGGGAAAAAAACTAGAATTTTGCTTTGATTCTGTGTTTCTTCCTCTGCTTTTACTTCAGGTACACTCATGAACTCTTTAAAGTGTCTTATCTATTTTCACTCAGTCAGAAAGACTGTGGGGGAAAACCCCCGGATTTATCATGCTTTGTGTGTTATTTTTGATTGTTGCTTTGGATTTTAACTTGCGTCTAGCCATGTGTTTCATGAATGTTCACACTATTACCTCCTATCGTTTTCGTCCCTAGTTTGTGTAAAGTAGACCATTTTTTAAAGTGACTATAAAGCGATCACAACCCAAGAAAATAATCTCCACCAAACAAAAACGTAGAGAACTTTAAAACAAATACAATGAAGGATTTCATCAGAGTTCAATACACTACAATGTGCAAAAAATGTCTCTTTCTTGTAAAAGTTGACTGGATCATCTGTCCTGTGTGTGTGTGTGTGTGTGTGTGTGTGTGTGTGTGTGTGTGTGTGTGTGTGTGTGTGTGTGTGTGTGTGTGTGTGTGTGTGTGTGTGTGTGCTGTCTCTGCAGTGGGAGCCGGAGAGGTGTGTAATTTTGCTGCCTACATGTTCGCGCCAGCCACACTGGTGACCCCCCTGGGTGCGCTCAGTGTCCTCATCAGGTAGTGCTCAGTGTCTTCATCAGGTAGTGCTCAGTGTCCTCATCAGGTAACGCTCAGTGTCCTCATCTGGTAGCGCTCAGTGTTCTCATCTGGTAGTGCTCAGTGTTCTCATCAGGTAGCGCTCAGTGTCCTCATCAGGTAGCGCTCAGTGTTCTCATCTGGTAGCGCTCAGTGTTCTCATCTGGTAGTGCTCAGTGTCCTCATCAGGTAGCGCTCTGTCCTCATCAGGTAGTGCTCAGTGTCCTCATCAGGTAGTGCTCAGTGTCCTCATCAGGTATTGCTCAGTGTCCTCATCAGGTAGCGCTCAGTGTTCTCATCTGGTAGCGCTCAGTGTTCTCATCTGGTAGCGCTCAGTGTCCTCATCAGGTAGTGCTCAGTGTTCTCATCTGGTAGCGCTCAGTGTTCTCATCAGGTAGCGCTCAGTGTCCTCATCAGGTAGCGCTCAGTGTTCTCATCTGGTAGCGCTCAGTGTTCTCATCTGGTAGTGCTCAGTGTCCTCATCAGGTAGCGCTCTGTCCTCATCAGGTAGTGCTCAGTGTCCTCATCAGGTAGTGCTCAGTGTCCTCATCAGGTATTGCTCAGTGTCCTCATCAGGTAGCGCTCAGTGTTCTCATCTGGTAGCGCTCAGTGTTCTCATCTGGTAGTGCTCAGTGTCCTCATCAGGTAGCGCTCTGTCCTCATCAGGTAGTGCTCAGTGTCCTCATCAGGTAGTGCTCAGTGTCCTCATCAGGTAGTGCTCAGTGTCCTCATCAGGTAGTGCTCAGTGTCCTCATCAGGTAGTGCTCAGTGTCCTCATCAGGTAGCGCTCAGTGTTCTCATCTGGTAGCGCTCAGTGTTCTCATCTGGTAGTGCTCAGTGTCCTCATCAGGTAGCGCTCTGTCCTCATCAGGTAGTGCTCAGTGTCCTCATCAGGTAGTGCTCAGTGTCCTCATCAGGTAGTGCTCAGTGTCCTCATCAGGTAGTGCTCAGTGTCCTCATCAGGTAGCGCTCAGTGTCCTCATCAGGTAGCGCTCAGTGTCCTCATCAGGTAGCGCTCAGTGTCCTCATCAGGTAACGCTCAGTGTCCTCATCAGGTAACGCTCAGTGTCCTCATCAGGTAAAGCTCAGTGTCCTCATCAGGTAGCGCTCAGTGTCCTCATCAGGTAGCGCTCAGTGTCCTCATCAGGTAGCGCTCAGTGTCCTCATCAGGTAGCGCTCAGTGTCCTCATCAGGTAACGCTCAGTGTCCTCATCAGGTAGCGCTCAGTGTCCTCATCAGGTAGTGCTCAGTGTCCTCATCAGGTAGCGCTCAGTGTCCTCATCAGGTAACGCTCAGTGTCCTCATCAGGTAGTGCTCAGTGTCCTCATCAGGTAGCGCTCAGTGTCCTCATCAGGTAGCGCTCAGTGTCCTCATCAGGTAGCGCTCAGTGTCCTCATCAGGTAGTGCTCAGTGTCCTCATCAGGTAGTGCTCAGTGTCCTCATCAGGTAGCGCTCAGTGTCCTTATCAGGTAGTGCTCAGTGTCCTCATCAGGTAGCGCTCAGTGTCCTCATCAGGTAACGCTCAGTGTCCTCATCAGGTAACGCTCAGTGTCCTCATCAGGTAACGCTCAGTGTCCTCATCAGGTAGTGCTCAGTGTCCTCATCAGGTAGCGCTCAGTGTCCTCATCAGGTAGCGCTCAGTGTCCTCATCAGGTAGTGCTCAGTGTCCTCATCAGGTAGCGCTCAGTGTCCTCATCAGGTAGTGCTCAGTGTCCTCATCAGGTAACGCTCAGTGTCCTCATCAGGTAACGCTCAGTGTCCTCATCAGGTAGCGCTCAGTGTCCTCATCAGGTAACGCTCAGTGTCCTCATCAGGTAGCGCTCAGTGTCCTCATCAGGTAGCGCTCAGTGTCCTCATCAGGTAACGCTCAGTGTCCTCATCAGGTAACGCTCAGTGTCCTCATCAGGTAACGCTCAGTGTCCTCATCAGGTAACGCTCAGTGTCCTCATCAGGTAACGCTCAGTGTCCTCATCAGGTAACGCTCAGTGTCCTCATCAGGTAGCGCTCAGTGTCCTCATCAGGTAACGCTCAGTGTCCTCATCAGGTAGCGCTCAGTGTCCTCATCAGGTAGCGCTCAGTGTCCTCATCAGGTAACGCTCAGTGTCCTCATCAGGTAGCGCTCAGTGTCCTCATCAGGTAGTGCTCAGTGTCCTCATCAGGTAACGCTCAGTGTCCTCATCAGGTAGCGCTCAGTGTCCTCATCAGGTAGCGCTCAGTGTCCTCATCAGGTAACGCTCAGTGTCCTCATCAGGTAACGCTCAGTGTCCTCATCAGGTAACGCTCAGTGTCCTCATCAGGTAACGCTCAGTGTCCTCATCAGGTAGCGCTCAGTGTCCTCATCAGGTAGCGCTCAGTGTCCTCATCAGGTAACGCTCAGTGTCCTCATCAGGTAACGCTCAGTGTCCTCATCAGGTAGCGCTCAGTGTCCTCATCAGGTAGCGCTCAGTGTTCTCATCAGGTAGCGCTCAGTGTCCTCATCAGGTAGCGCTCAGTGTCCTCATCAGGTAACGCTCAGTGTCCTCATCAGGTAGCGCTCAGTGTCCTCATCAGGTAGCGCTCAGTGTCCTCATCAGGTAACGCTCAGTGTCCTCATCAGGTAGTGCTCAGTGTCCTCATCAGGTAGCGCTCAGTGTCCTCATCAGGTAACGCTCAGTGTCCTCATCAGGTAACGCTCAGTGTCCTCATCAGGTAGCGCTCAGTGTCCTCATTAGGTAACGCTCAGTGTCCTCATCAGGTAACGCTCAGTGTCCTCATCAGGTAGTGCTCAGTGTCCTCATCAGGTAGCGCTCAGTGTCCTCATCAGGTAACGCTCAGTGTCCTCATCAGGTAGTGCTCAGTGTCCTCATCAGGTAGTGCTCAGTGTCCTCATCAGGTAACGCTCAGTGTCCTCATCAGGTAACGCTCAGTGTCCTCATCAGGTAACGCTCAGTGTCCTCATCAGGTAGCGCTCAGTGTCCTCATTAGGTAACGCTCAGTGTCCTCATCAGGTAACGCTCAGTGTCCTCATCAGGTAGCGCTCAGTGTCCTCATCAGGTAGCGCTCAGTGTCCTCATCAGGTAGCGCTCAGTGTCCTCATCAGGTAGCGCTCAGTGTCCTCATCAGGTAGCGCTCAGTGTCCTCATCAGGTAGCGCTCAGTGTTCTCATCTGGTAGCGCTCAGTGTTCTCATCAGGTAGCGCTCAGTGTCCTCATCAGGTAGCGCTCAGTGTCCTCATCAGGTAGCGCTCAGTGTCCTCATCAGGTAACGCTCAGTGTTCTCATCAGGTAGCGCTCAGTGTCCTCATCAGGTAGCGCTCAGTGTCCTCATCAGGTAACGCTCAGTGTCCTCATCAGGTAGTGCTCAGTGTCCTCATCAGGTAGCGCTCAGTGTCCTCATCAGGTAACGCTCAGTGTCCTCATCAGGTAACGCTCAGTGTCCTCATCAGGTAGCGCTCAGTGTCCTCATTAGGTAACGCTCAGTGTCCTCATCAGGTAACGCTCAGTGTCCTCATCAGGTAGCGCTCAGTGTCCTCATCAGGTAGCGCTCAGTGTCCTCATCAGGTAGTGCTCAGTGTCCTCATCAGGTAGTGCTCAGTGTCCTCATCAGGTAGCGCTCAGTGTCCTCATCAGGTAACGCTCAGTGTCCTCATCAGGTAACGCTCAGTGTCCTCATCAGGTAACGCTCAGTGTCCTCATCAGGTAGTGCTCAGTGTCCTCATCAGGTAGCGCTCAGTGTCCTCATCAGGTAGCGCTCAGTGTCCTCATCAGGTAACGCTCAGTGTCCTCATCAGGTAGCGCTCAGTGTCCTCATCAGGTAGTGCTCAGTGTCCTCATCAGGTAGTGCTCAGTGTCCTCATCAGGTAACGCTCAGTGTCCTCATCAGGTAGCGCTCAGTGTCCTCATCAGGTAGTGCTCAGTGTCCTCATCAGGTAGTGCTCAGTGTCCTCATCAGGTAGCGCTCAGTGTCCTCATCAGGTAGTGCTCAGTGTCCTCATCAGGTAGTGCTCAGTGTCCTCATCAGGTAACGCTCAGTGTCCTCATCAGGTAGTGCTCAGTGTCCTCATCAGGTAGTGCTCAGTGTCCTCATCAGGTAGCGCTCAGTGTCCTCATCAGGTAGTGCTCAGTGTCCTCATCAGGTAGTGCTCAGTGTCCTCATCAGGTAACGCTCAGTGTCCTCATCAGGTAACACTCAGTGTCCTCATCAGGTAACGCTCAGTGTCCTCATCAGGTAGTGCTCAGTGTCCTCATCAGGTAGTGCTCAGTGTCCTCATCAGGTAGCGCTCAGTGTCCTCATCAGGTAACGCTCAGTGTCCTCATCAGGTAGCGCTCAGTGTCCTCATCAGGTAGTGCTCAGTGTCCTCATCAGGTAGTGCTCAGTGTCCTCATCAGGTAACGCTCAGTGTCCTCATCAGGTAGCGCTCAGTGTCCTCATCAGGTAGTGCTCAGTGTCCTCATCAGGTAGCGCTCAGTGTCCTCATCAGGTAGCGCTCAGTGTCCTCATCAGGTAGCGCTCAGTGTCCTCATCAGGTAGCGCTCAGTGTCCTCATCAGACAGCCGCCATCTTCTGAGGAAAACATGTTGATGTGTTTTTAGTCATGTCGTTCTGGTCTGTGTTTTTAAGCGCGGTTCTCTCCTCCCGCCTGTTGGAGGAGCAGTTGAATGTGGTGGGGAAGTTCGGCTGTCTGCTGTGTGTACTCGGGAGCATTCTGTTGGTCATTCATGCCCCACAAGAACAAGAAGTCACATCAATACAGGACATGACCAATAAGCTGCTGGAGCCAGGTGAGAGGAGAGTCCAACAATTCATCCAGACATGCTACTTGACATGGTCCATCAAATCCAACATAGAGCATTGCATTCTTAAATATAATTTCAGCAATCAGATCTGTTTTTATTCATATACAGCCAGTTAGCATACATGTTAAAAGTGATTACATTTTATGAATTACTCTTTGAAAATAGAGAAAGTTTAATAGGTCGGTTTATTAAAACCAATCTACCACAACTGACTCTGTGATTATGTTCGTGATGTTACCCAAAAAGAAAATGAGTTTGACACCCCTGTTTCTTTATTATTATTATTATTATTTTGTAATTAACTCAAAGTTGGTTTATATGCAAGCTTCATTTGAACAAAACAAGAAATTCTTTGAGTTTTTGCTTATCTGTTTGCCACTGTGCTTGCCTGTACCAGGTTTCCTGTTCTATATTGTGGCGGTTTTGGTTCTGTGTGCGGTTCTGGTGTTGTATTTCTCTCCACGTTCTGGTCGTTCCAACATCCTGATCTACATCGGGATCTGCTCGTTGCTGGGAGCCTTCACCGTATCGTCGGTGAAGGGCCTCGCCATAGCCATCAACACCGGTGAGATGCTGCAGACGGAAACATGCTTCTGCTGACTCAACATTTTGAAGATTCTAAACATGTTCAGATCAGCTAAAGTTTTCCTTTAGCTGAATTACACAAAACCACTGCTGTGAATCTTTGTCATTTTTTCCCCCTCTGCCCAGTGACTTATGACATCTCTGTGCTCAGCCAGCCTCTTACATGGATCCTGCTGCTCACCCTCATTGTTTCAATAGTAGCACAGGTAAGCTGGGCTCATAAAAACAGGCGCTGTAAGTTACAAGATGGAAAAGAATTTGGTGTCTTGGTACCATATAAATTGGTGATGTATAATGCAGTATCTGATTGCTGTAGACCATATATCTGGTTATTAAATTGAATAATCATGAATATGTTAAAATCATTTGTTTTTATTTTGGTTTTGATCTTAATGATCTATCAAAATGTCCTCCTGGTTCATGTAATTTACTGGTTCACACAAGTATATTTTCTCAGAATAGACTTGATTCAGCTGATGACATCCATTGTGTCAAATGTTCCAGACCGTTCCTTAATTCCTTCTTCACAAAGTGTAGATAAAACTAGATTTCAGCAGTTGGAGGATTTCTCTTTTGTCTGTCACAATGTACCAAATAAACACCTTTCAACGATGGGCTAAGCTTTTGCTAAAAATGTATGCAAGAAACAGACACTTGCACTTGCTGTAGTTGTGTTTTTCCAGAATGCTCTTGCTGCTGTCTGCTTCTTGCTCTCTGGTTTGCTTGACATTCACATATGCATCCAAGTCCAGCTTGAGTTTGCTCCAACCAAATTCAGACCCAAGTTTTTATCCGGACCACAGTTTGCTGTTCTGGACCACATCAGAGTTGGATTGCACATTGATCACCTGACAAATGAACTTCACTTTCTAAACAAAGTAACTAGAGTTGGATCGAAGCAGACTAAACAGGGCTGGTCCTAATGCACCTTAAGAAGACTATGGACTATTGTTATAAATGGTTAATTATGAGTGGCCAGTATGAAACTTCATCTGACTGACATCCTCATTTCATACCATAAAACGTCTTGTTAAAAAAGTCTAAAACAGCTTTGGGACAGAAAGGCCTCCTCATGCATGGAGAGAACACCAGACCCCACACACAAAGCCAAACGTTTGTGTTTGTCATGTGGCTGGGAGACTCATTGATGAGTCTGAAGTCACCTTTGTGTCTGTGCAGGTGAACTACCTCAACAAGTCTCTGGACACCTTCAACACCCTGCTGGTGTATCCTATCTACTACGTCCTCTTCACCTCTGTGGTCCTTTCCACCTCCATCATCCTTTTCCAGGAGTGGAGCAGCATGTCTGCCGTGGACGTGGTCACAACACTGGGCTCGTTCCTGGTCATCGTGGTGGGCGTGGCCTTGCTACACCTGTTCAGGGAGTTGCAGGTGGGCATCCCTTCCCCCCTAACATCCCTCCTCAGATGAACGAAAGCTTTTCTTCTTATTTTTTGCCAATAAAGATACAACGATTCAACCTCATACAGGAATCTGATGTTTGATTTCTCTTAATGCAGATTACAATGAAGCAGCTGACCAATCAGCTTTCTCAGCCAGTGGAGAGGGTGGGACTTACAGAAGAAGTCACAACCAATGGAAGAAGAGGAAGGAATAAAAAGGAGGATAAATATGGACTGATGGACAATGTAGTCATAGAAAGTCTGCCTCCTATGAGAGAGGAGGGACCCAGAGTTTTCATAATCAGCTGAAAAAGAGAATTCCAGAAGTTTCTGTTCTGTTACTTGACATTTCCTGCACTTTGTAAAACATTTGCTGCCATCTTAGTTCATGCTATAGGTCCCTCCAATCTCGCATGTTGGTATTTAATGGTACAGTACTAGTTAACCTTTTTAATTTGTAAATATTTAAGAAATTTTTCCCATAAATACCATTTTAGTTGAAGGTTTAAATAATTTATTGGAAATAAGTACTTTAGAGCCCACTCATAATATGCTGTCAAAGAAATAACAATAAATAACAATAATAATAATAATAATAATAAATAAGACAAGTTGACAGAAAACAAGAAAATCCAAAACATGGATCAAAGTTTACCATCAAACTGGTTGGTTAAATAATATCAAACTGCTCCTCATAAAAAGACATCTCCTCATACCTTGAGCATTTTAAAGATTTTACTTGATGGCATTAAATTATAAGATGAGTTGGTGTCTTCTGTTATGGACTCCAAATTGGTTCTGCCTCCTCTTTCACAGGAGGTTTGGCTGGAAAGAGTTTTTCTGTGATGTCTCAGGCTGTTTGTTCATTAATCACCAGTTAGACTGGCTGAGTCCCAAGAAGATGTTAATTGAAAAAACCATAATGGCACCAAAGAAGTTTTTTTTTTTTTGCAGTTGACTTTTTACCCCTAATACCCTTTTTCAAAGTTTTTGTACTACTTGTGGCCTTTTTTAAACAGTAGAAAGAACGAAAGGCAGAGAGTCTAAATAAATTGAAAAGTCAAATGTAATTAAATATTCCTTTAAATTGGTGATTATTTCCGACATGTACACTTGTTTAAATAACAAGTATACATGTCATTGGAGGAGGCTCACATTTTCATTTTAGCTGTTTTAAACAGACATAGTGTCCTAATTTATTCATCATCAGAAAGATGGTGTTAGTTTAACAGGAAGCATTTTTAATCACATAATCACCATTTTCTAAGGGTGTCATTTATTTGGGTGTCATGCTGTGTGTGGCCTGATTGTTGGAAACGATAAAATAAGATTTTGGCTGTTACGCAGGGCACTGCGCTGCTTTCAAAATGAACAGCCAAACTTCACCTTAACTATTGTTTAGAAAGTGGACTGGTTAGAAAACTTTTGGTATGATTACCTACCAAATATTAGCTCTATCTTGCATAGCAACTCTGAGATCTGTTAAGTGTGGATCTGCTTTCTCTGCTGTGCTGCTGTTTTTTGAAATCCCTTAAAAAACTGAGATGGAAGACATTTCAGCTTCTGCTTGAAGTATTTGGTGACTGAAACTAGTTTCTTTCAGTTGAAGTTGTAGACATTCATTTAGTGTTTTATTTTATGTGTTAAAATTACAACAGATGTCTCAAAAATGAGGTTAGAAATGAGTCAAGCGACGTTTTCTTCTGAGTCAGTGTTAGGGTGAGTCAGGTATCGTTAAGAGCTTTCATGACAGCTGCATCTCAGTAGAGGATCATAGACATTAGGCTTGCAGCTAAGAATAAAATTGATTCATCTTATCCATTTTTCTAACAATTGTTTAGTCAGCAAAAATATGTATATTCTGCAGATTTTTCATTTATCTATTTTGTGCTTTTATACAGTACTAAATACATTAAAATATGCAAATGAACAACTGAATTACGTTTTGAAATATGTTTTCAGCCTAAATTATAATGCAGTGTATTTATTTCAGTTTTGACTGTTCTTTCAGCAAAGTGACCTTTCTTTGAACGTGTGTAGTCTAGTTAACTGGATCATTAAATCAGTTGATTATTTCAATAATCGATCATGATTCATTTAATGAATCAATTCAGCCCCAAGGCATAATATTGTAATTTTCTTTTTATTTCCACTTCTGAAATGCTAAACAGGAACAAAAGTTGAGGGTTTGAAGAAATGTAACCATTTTCTTCCAAAAATAACCTAACCCTCCCGGCTCCCGGCTCCCGGCTCCCGGCTCCTGGCTCCCGGCTCCCGGCTCCCGGCTCCCGACCCAGGTTCCAGCCCACTCAGGGCCATATTTTCTGCCATTGTGATGGAAGGTTGAAGAAATGAAACATTACGTCACGAGAAGTTTGAACATCATTATTTTAGCTTCAACAAGGCAGACTGACTTAAACTAGTCTGATCTGTATCTGACATCACATACCTCACTTATCTCTCTGCCCAGCATGGATCACTTCAAGTCCTGCTGTGGGAAAACCCTCTGCTGCTGT